ATTGCAGAGTTAAGGGACCTGGGAATATGCACCTAGACCACTTCAATGAGCTGAAGTGGTCTGGGTGCCTATAGTGTCCTGTTAATCGTCAGAAAATTGCAGAGATTCTCAGTTAAAATCTACAATCTAAGGGGATTATTCACTAAAACTGTTTGTTCTTATAACTTAAACTAAAAAACAAATTGGAAAAATTGTTGAGTTTGGCTATTTTAGCCTAAATTTAGCATTTTGGCTTTTATTTCCTCTTAGATTGTGCGCTCATTGGAGCTAAACCTTATCCACCAAATATCCCCTTTCTATAATTGTACAGCGCTGCAGAATGTGTTGGCACTATATAAATGCTATTGATGATAATAATACGTTTCACTGCAATCTGATGTTTAGTGAATGAATTCTTAGATCTGTACAGTAACAGGAGACTCCTGTACAGTCCTGCAGACTTAGCGCCTTCCAATAATACCATATAATTTGTAATCCACACTATGCTTATCATCTGCCAAAATATTATTATAAACACTGTACGGTAAACAGTACAGGGGGGCACGAGATAATTGTAACTCCACTGGTGCTGCATGGCTTGGAAATGTTGGTTTAAGGGACATTAGGGCAAAGAGCGGTTTATGCTTTTTATTGAGGGCCTATTAACTTCCTAATGGGTCTGATTTACTGCTCCCTGCGGGAAACACCATCTTACTTGCTCATCAACAAGATGGGGCTCAGTATGGAGCCAGCATGTAAATTGGAGGGAAATTTACCCCCCACCAGGGAACATTACACAGGGATCAGGAGAAATAAGCAGAGAACAGCATGGGCTCCCTTGTTCTCAAACCAGTCAGGATCCTTAACTAATACTCTGCCAAATTGGAGTATAGAAAATGTAAAGGGAATGGGAGAGTCAATGTTTACCCAAGGGTGTGTGACATATGTATTTATGATCCCTTATAATCCTGAAAGATGACCCAACTATTATAGAAAGATTTTTGGAACACTGAGTCATTTTATGAAGTAGCAGCCTTTTCCCCTGTCTGATGCAGTAAGACTTGGATTTGTGTATAGCAAAGGGATAAGGAAATCAGTGAGGGTTGTATTTTACAGTAATGTGTAGTTTGTATTTTCATATTGTGAGGTATATATTGTTCCTGCATGTAGTTTTCAGTGAGGGTAATTTTTCCTGCAGTAAGAATCATGCAGTGAGGGTAGTTTTCCTTGCAGTGAGTGGTATGCAGTAATAGTAGTTTTCCTTGCAGTGAGTGGTATGCAGTGAGGGTCGTATTTCCACTGCAGTGAGTATCATGCAGCGAGGGCTCTATATTACTTGCAGTGAGTGGCATGCAGTAAGAGTTGTATTGCCCTTGCATTTAGTGAGGCCTATAGTTTCCTTGCAGCGAGGGCTGTATTTTCCTTGCAGTGAGTGGTGTGCAGTGATGGCTGTATTTTCTTTGCAGTGAGTGGTATGCAGTGAGGCCTGTATTTTCCTTGCAGTGAGTGGTGTGCAGTGATGGCTGTATTTTCTTTGCAGTGAGTGGTATGCAGTGAGGCCAGTATTTTCCTTGCAGTGAGTGGCATGCAGTGATGGCTGTATTTTCTTTGCAGTGAGGCCTGTATTTTCCTTACAGTGAGAGGCATGCAGTGAGGGCTGTATTTTCTTTGCAGTGAGTGTCATGCAGTGATGGCTGTATTTTCTTTGCAGTGAGTTGTATGCAGTGAGGGCTGTATTTTCCTTGCAGTTAGTGGCATGCAGTGATGGCTGTATTTTCTTTGCAGTGAGGGCTCTATATTACTTGCAGTGAGTGGTATTCAGTGGTATGTGAGTGGTATGCAGTCCTTGCATTTAGTGAGGCCTATATTTTCCTTGCAGTGAGAGGTATGACGTGAGGGCTGTATTTTCTTTGCAGTTAGTGGTATGCAGTGAGGCCTGTATTTTCCTTGCACTGATAGCTGTATTTTCTTTGCAGTGAGTGTCATGCTGTGATGGCTGTATTTTCTTTGCAGTGAGTTGTATGCAGTGAGGGCTGTATTTTCCTTGCCGTGAGTGGCATGCAGTGATGGTTGTATTTTCTCTGCAGTTAGTGGTATGCAGTGAGGCCTGTATTTTCCTTGCAGTGAGTGGCATGCAGTGATGGCTGTATTTTCTTTGCAGTTAGTGTTGTGCAGTGATGGCTGTATTTTCCTTGCAGTGACTGGTATGCAGTGAGGCCTGTACTTTCCTTGCAATGAGTGGCATGCACTGATGGCTGTATTTTCTTTGCTGTGAGTGGTATGCAGTGAGCATGTATTTTCTTTGCAGTGAGTTGTATGTAGTGAGGGCTGTATTTTCCTTGCAGTGAGAGGCATGCACTGAGGGCTGTATTTTTCTTGCAGTGAGTGGCATGCAGTGATGGCTGTATTTTCTGTGCAGTGAGGCCTGTATTTTCCTTGCAGTGAAGGCTGTATTTTCTTTGCAGTGAGTGGCATGCAGTGAGGGCTGTATTTTCCTTGCCGTGAGTGGCATGCAGTGATGGTTGTATTTTCTTTGCAGTTAGTGGTATGCATTGAGGCCTGTATTTTCCTTGGAGTGAGTGGTGTGCAGTGATGGCTGTATTTTCTTTGCAGTTAGTGGTGTGCAGTGATGGCTGTATTTTCCTTGCAGTGAGTGGTATGCAGTGAGGCCTGTATTTTCCTTGCAATGAGTGGCATGCACTGATGGCTGTATTTTCTTTGCTGTGAGTGGTATGCAGTGAGCCTCTATTTTCTTTGCAGTGAGTTGTATGTAGTGAGGGCTGTATTTTCCTTGCAGTGAGAGGCATGCACTGAGGGCTGTATTTTCCTTGCAGTGAGTGGCATGCAGTGATGGCTGTATTTTCTTTGCAGTGAGGCCTGTATTTTCCTTGCAGTGAGAGGCATGCAGTGAGGGCTGTATTTTCTTTGCAGTGAGTGGCATGCAGTGATGACTGTATTTTCTTTGCAGTGAGTGGCATGCAGTGATGGCTGTATTTTTTTGCAGTGAGGGCTGTATTTTCCTTGCCGTTAGTGGAATGCAGTGATGGTTGTATGTTCTTTGCAGTGAGTGGTATGCAATGAGGCCTGTATTTTCCTTGCAGTGAGTGGCATGCAGTGATGGCTGTATTTTCTTTGCAGTGAGTGGTGTGCAGTGATGGCTGTATTTTCCTTGCAGTGAGTGGCATGCAGTAAGGGCTGTATTTTCTTTGCAGTGAGTTGCATACACTGAGGGCTATATAGTGAGGGTTTTCCTCTTGCAGTGACTGGCATGTGGTAAGGACTGCATTTTCATTAAAGGATCACGATAGTGTCAGGAAAACAAACCCATTACCTCAGGGTCTCACTTACCTTTATCCAGCGCTGGGCTCCCTCGCGTTGGTGACCTATCTTCCCCCTCCAATGTCAGCTCCTGAGTGGAGCAGAATGTGCGTGCGCGGCAACCAGTCCATAGGAAAGCATTTCTCAATGCTTTCCTATGGACGTTCTGCATACTGAATGCAAATTTCACATCTCTAGGGGCTGTCAGGAAGAGGTTGGATTAACAATGCTATGTTTACATGTGAAGGGTTAAAACCTGAGGCACCTGGCACCCAGACAACTTGATTGAGCTGAAGTGGTCTGGGTGACTATAGTGTCCCTTTAAGTTTTTTTTTCCCCTCTGCAGTGAGTGGCATGAAGAGAGGACTGTGTGTTTTATGCAGTGAGTGACGATGTACATAGTTTCACGTATGTAGCTGGAGGAACATTCCAGTTGGAGTGCTGGTAACCCTGTTATACAGTATGTATGCATTCAATCATAATACACAGAATTATGATATACCTTGTATGTAAGTACTTCAAATATACTAATCCCTGTATACGAGGCCCTAGGCAGGTTACCAGTTTAACATCCTCCATTTATTCTTCACATAGAAATGGTTAATAGAGCCAAAGAAAAAAAATCGTTTCTGGGCCCATGCCCAAGCCCTGGGCCCTATGCAGCTGCCTATGGTTGCCTTATGGTTACTCCTGCTCTGTCTACAGTTCATACATCAATTTCTAACACACGTTATATTTTTATTACCTTTGCTGAGTAAATTAATTTAGGACATTTAATGAATGAAACTACTAGCAACTGCTGAGCTACCTATCCAATAAACCCTGATTTGCAAAGGTTTATGTAATGTACACACAATTTCAGAAATGAGAATTTCTGATATATTATTTTTTAAATTGTTAATTTCATTTAAAAAAAGGGACAGGTCCACTCTTTCTTACTATACTTTTAAAAGTCACAAGAAATGTTACTCCGACTGGGTGATTCCATTACACCATTAAATACGATATCTTGTGTGCGTTGATTTTGTGTGTCTATAACCTTATGTTCTTTAACCATAGCCTTGCAGAGAGGGGGGCCTTAGATTTGGATATGCGACCCCCCTTTAGCATAACAGAGGGGTGCACACAGACACTGTTCCTGAGAACGGTGTCCCCCAGCAATTTACAGGATAAACAGAGACTTGGCTCTGGTAATACTCGGCACCATTAATCTGCTTGCTTATGACTGAGACAGGATAATGGGTCTTCGAGGTTTCCAGCCAGCCATTTCCTTTCTAGTGACCTGTAGCTCTGATATATTCAGGAACGCTTGTGCATACTTCCTCCAATATCTTCACCACTTTAGCGGCAATTGTCCATTCCCTATCCAGAGCTGCCATGTTGTGCGATTATTGTTTTGTTTGTACTGAAATTTTAAAAACGTAAATTATCTTTCTTCAGTATATAAAGGATGAACAGATGGCAACATGTCTGGAGAACAGAGAAGGAAATGTTAGACTTAATAGTAGTGTTTCAAGAATTTTTAACATTAAATCCCTTGAGAAACCTTTCCCTTTTCCGACATGTTTGAGTCACCACGATGTCTGTACGAGATTACACATCTGAAATGTGGTGGCTATGTGTAGCATAAACACAAGTGTAATGTCCTTGGCTCACTGACCAGGCGTGTCTCTAAAGTGATACTCCTCTGTTGTTCTGTATATTGGATCTATTTAGCACATTATTAAGCCATATTGGCTAGCATTGTGTGAACGGTTCCCAGCTCTGGATAGAATGAGATTAATTCCTAATGAAGTTATGCAATCCATCAAATGCTTCTCAAGATGTTCATGCATATATATCATTGCTGCTTACATAAATAAAGCCTTGTGTAAGCATGCCTCACTTAAAGGATGCACGAAATGAGACTAGGCTTCTAGTGGACATGTTGATACACCATTAAGAAGGTTGACCACAGAGCTGATCTCAATCCGTTTCTTGCAAGTTTAGATTGTTAGATGTCCAGCAAAAAGAAGTGGTTCCATCCTGGAAGTTAGACTAAAATGTATTCTGATGGAACGGCCATTAATCTTAGAATGTGAGTCTTCTCACAGTTATGCCTCAACAACTGGTGGCCATATGCCTCTTCCAAGTCTTACACCAATCAATTGAGAGCAACACACAACTCATTCATTTTTATAACCAACTCAACTAGTGAAAGCATGTCCACTCACAAGCACATTCTGTTATTGGACTGTATGTGATAACAATCCACAATTTTAAAGGGTTTTAAAGATCGAAGAATAAAAGAGTTAAGTGATCTTCAAATCAGTCAAACACAGTATAAAATAGGACTAGCAAAACTAGCAAACAATATAAAAACCTTGTGGTATATCCAACTAGTTATACTCTTTAGGACTTGTGGTTATATATTCACTGCTTTCGGGTGTTAAGAGAAGAAAGAGAGATAAATATATTGCCGAACCTCAGAGAACATACAAGCCTGTGGGTGTTGTGGTGGAAAAAAAAACTTTTCTTAAAGGACCACTATAGTCACCCGGACCACTTCAGCTCAATGAAGTGGTCTGGGTGCCAGGTCCCCCAGGTTTTAACCCTTCAGATGTAAACATAGCAGTTTCAGAGAAACTGCTATGTTTACATTGCAGGGTTAATCCAGCCTCCAGTGGCTGTCTTCCTGACAGCCGTTAGAGGCGCTTCCCCGACGCTCAATGCGAAAATCGCATTGAGCATGCAGAACGTCCATAGGAAAGTATTAAGTAATGCTTTCCTATGGGCAGTTTGAATGCGCACGCGGCTCTGGCTGCGCATGCGCATTTGGCTCCACTCGGGAGCTGAAGTCGGAGGGGGAGGAGAGGTCACCAGCGCCGAGGGAGCTCGGCGCTGGATAAAGGTAAGTGGCTGAAGGGGTTTTAACCCCTTCAGCCCAGCGGGAGGGGGGCCCTGAGGGTGGGGGGACCTAAGGACTATATAGTGCCAGGAAAACTGGTTTGTTTTCCTGACACTATAGTGATCCTTTAAAATCTCCATTCCTTTGCGACCTGGTTTCTATGTTCATAAGGTAAAAAAAAGTTTTGTACATACAGATTCCTACCAACATGACTATTTCAAATTACTAAAGTGATCATGGTGGTTGAAGTAACCCTGTAAGCACTAGAAACTATCTATTAGTGCGATGTATAAAGTTTTCAATAAAACCTGGGAAATGTATCAAGGAAGGTATATTAGGACAGCTATAAAGACAGTTGAGGAGAAATGCACGTCCTGAGTAAACCTTTTTATAGTGTCTGGTAGACATGCTAGTTTGCAAAATGGTAAATGCTAAGTAGTGGTCGGTGTCAATGGAAGCTGACATTAAATGCAGTAGAAGGCAAGGAAATGTGTTGGTATTTTTAGCAGAGAACTTCTACCTGCTGTTGATATTAGCAAAATATAGCTGCATATAGCTGAATAGCTGCATTTTTATAACATGGAAATGAGCCCCATTTTTAAAATTCTTTATTTTAAAAGAGTGGCTCATGACATATAAACTTTAAAGGACCACTATAGGCACAACCACTTCAGCTGAAGTGGTCTGGGTGCCAGGTCCATCTAGGGTTAACCCTGCAGCTGAAAACATAGCAGTATTAGAGAACTGCTATGTTTCACTGAGGGTTAATCCAGCCTCTAGTGGCTGTCTCCCTGACAGCCGCTAAGACGCTGGACGTCCATAGAAAAGCATTGAGTAATGCTTTCCTATAGGCGGTTTGAATGCGCAATCGGATCTGATGTCAGCAGGGGGAGGAGAGGTCACCAGCACCGAGGGAACCCGGCGCTGGAGAAAGGTATGTGGCTGAAGGGGTTTTAACCCCTTCAGCCCAGTGGGAGGAGGTCCTGAGGATGGGGGGGACCTAATGACCCTATAGTGCCAGGAAAACGAGTTTGTTTTCCTGGCACTATAGTGGTCCTTTAATTTATTAAAGTTTACACCACTAATTGGAGAGCTTCAGCGATCTCCAATTTGCATTTTAAATGTAAATTAAGACATTTGCCTTCTACCATGTGTGTTTGTAACCTGAATTCAGACCTGTTAAATCATTAATTCAGTTATGTTTATTAAGTATTTTAATTTGTTTATACATCCTATTTGCATTTTTATCTCATATTAATGTGATGGGATTTTGATGATTTCATTTTGTTGCAGTCTGTCTGATTCAATTATTGGTACTTTTTTATCTTGATAAAAGTGTTTAAATATTGTTAATAAATATACATTTAGGTGGTTATTATAAATTGTATAAAACATTTTTTAATTTCTCAATCATTCTGTGTTAACGCATGAAATCAATGGCTGTTTCACAAACATATATTCCTAAAGCTATAATGGTCTCCTCCTGCTTTAGATTAAATGGCCTCCTAAAGTAATTTTTAAGAAGAAAAAAAAGTGAAAAAATGTTTTTACTTTCCTTTTTTCCAATGCCTAGACTCACTCGATGCTGCTGCCCATTCCTCCTCCTGCAACATCATCTTCAAGTCAAACTCGGTTATGAGTTTATGAGCAGATGTCCATATGTACCGAAACAGCAAATTTTAAATATATACATCCATGAAATTAGAAGAGTTTGAATTCAGGAACAACCAAATGCTGGGATAAGATCATTCATCAGATGGGACGTTTGATATAATATAATATAACCCTCCGCCACCCTTGAATTGTCTTAGACAGCTTTGTCTGTGGATGTCCTTAAAGGACAATTAATAGGTAGTTTCATGGAATTGTAGCTACCTGGATTCCATAATTATCTTTACAGTCAAAGCACAGGTGAACTCTGGCCTAGTGCTAGTATCATAAGTGGTCTTCCATAGACTGATTGTAGCCATCTTCGTGCTTACAACCAAGTCTGAAGATGGAGTTTTAAGTGGGCCACTATTTCTTTGTAATAGTCTTCAAAGTTTGGCTAACCTCTTTTGTGCTTTCACCAGCAGAAACCTGGCTTGTTGCCTCGTTACAAACATTTGTCTTACCACTACGGTATAGAAGGCTCAACTCTGATGCTCTCCTGACTTTCTGACCTCCGCTCTCCCCATCTCTATTTCATCAGAGTCTGTACAAGAGCACTTCATTTAGCTCTGAACTCATCTGCTGCCCTCCTCATATTATTACAGAAACCTTTTTATACAGCAATGCCATCGAAACTGAAATCTAGGAACACAGCATTTCTAACACCCTAGAGTTTCCTGGATAAAATGACATTTTGATTTATGTATCCATTATATATATATAAAAGTATTTTGTTTGTCCATATAGTCTGTACTCGTTTGTCGTTGTCTTTTTTTTTTTTTTACATTGTAAATGTGTTAACAACTTTCATTTGTTTATTCTTTGCATATGGCTTTTCACATGATTGACCTATATATTCTATCACTTCTGATTGTAGCCTAGTTTGCTGTGTTATTCAGCCTAGCCTTGGACCTCATGCCTTGCTATAACCTTCAAATACTTACTATTACTTTAATAAATATTCTAGTTATCCTCATTTTCCTGATCTTCTGGTTGCATTTCCCCACGTTAATTCTAAAACCTAGTAAGTTTCTCGATAAAATTGTGTTGCACTAAAAATGGTCCTCTATGTTATTCATAAATGATGCATACTCTCTGACCTTTGTTTTTTTTGTTTATTCCCTGCAGTGGCAGAGGCCCTTACTCAGACCCCAAAAGACTGAAACAATAGCAATTTCTATAACTCACTTGCCAAGATCATTATTCAAACTTCAATACAGGTTACACTTTTGGCACAAGCAGAACAGTTATCAGAGAGAGTATTTCTAGACTGACAAACCAGTGATGATCCATAATATCATAACAATCTGCTCCTTTAAGGCCCAGCTCCGAAATGTAATGTCCTACACAACCAATGACAACAGGATTTCATGGAGGTTTTAGAACTAAATTATCAGGTCATGTGATGCTGGTATATGGTATATTGGGACTAAGTGGCACAATGGCAAAGTAATGTTTCGTCCCTAAGTGGTTAACGTGTTTATCTAAATCATTGATTATTGATGGAATACTAAGAGCAATCTAGTTAGTTGAAGGATATGAGATATAGACCATGAAAGGTTAGTTGGATTGTGAATCCTATTGTTTTGCATTTCTACGCCAATCTGCTGTGGAACTGTGCGATTGAAGAGCTGCCGTCTGCTATGACCATTTTCTTTTTGTTATTGGACCTGTGCTACCTGCTCTAGTTTTGTACTATCGTCCTCTGATCTTTGTAACACTGCTTGTACCTCATACCAGATGTCTACCAATCTACAATGGTGGGTGCTCACTAAAAGTAAGCAGTAGCCTAGGCCTGGCACACAGCTTCCTGCTCTCCGTATTTAACTAGTCCCCCTATTTGTACATACATTGGTGGAGTGTTCTGTTCTAATAAGTGCTGTAAAAATGTAAAAGAGGTGAAGTCACCAATGGAACGAGCCTGCTGGTTTCCATGATAATTGCCAACTCTTAGTTCTTTAGACCACTTTTTAGAACAAAACACTTTCATAAATCATAGTGTTTACCCATAACATATGACGCCTATTACATCTCATCTATGTTCAGAAAGGAATGAATATGGTGCCTCAGAAAATAGCATTTCTTCTCCTTCAGGTGACACGGCTGTATGGGACATCTTTCTTGTACTTACCCTATGTTTATGTGGGACACAGCCAGGCTTTCTGCCTTTGAAGGGTAACATAGTGATTGAGATCCATGAACGCTTTGAGATACAGCGCACTTACCCCCTTGCTGGGTGCTGTATGCAGGGAGTTTAGTAACTTTGGAGCTTGTCATGCACTGTGGGGTGACAAAGAAATGCACACACATAAGGGACCAATTCCTCTCCTCACTCCGCTGCTTCCTGATGCATCAGCAGCTCTCCAATT